TCCTATGGTCCTGTCCTTCTGTACAGCAAATATGGTCTGATCAAACTCCTCTGGAGCTCCCTCAAATGGAGACATCTGTTTGTGTGCATAACCAAGAGAAGGGTCCCATAAGTGGGATACACAGACAAAAAAACATATTGTTGACGGAGTACAGCAGAAAGAGCTAAATAAATTATTATAACAGCATAGCAAGCATGGGACTTTGAAACTAAACAATCCTGCAGTCTATAATAAGCTCACTGTTCAATATCTCTGATGGTTAGGACAATGTTTGACCACAAGATCTCCCTTGTAAGGACTGAGACCATAGACATTCCAGTATTCCAGATCCATAGATCACACATTTTCGTAATTATATCCTCCCTTAATTCTACATTTTGACAAGAAATCTCATGCTAAAAATTAAATAAATAAAAATATTGGAAGTGAAAAAACATACAGCTAAAGCATCATAATGGAGTCCATCGTAAATCAGCATGGCCCTTTCTGAGTACTTCCTGTCCTGTCAAATAGCAAGATAAAGATAAATGACTGTAAACATTAAGTAATGCTCAAGTTGGAAATATTTCAAACAAAAATAACATAACTAACACTGACCTGACCATACAAATCACACCGCATGGTCTGGATATCATATGCCGCAATTTCACGTCCATAATAATCTGCTAATATTGAAAGCTCAATAGCACCTTCACAAGAGAGCACCAAGAAGAAAAGTAATCAGAATAGTTCAATGAGCAAACAACTAACATCTAAAACGCATACAGAAATTAGTGCATGATTGTGAAAGGAAAAGAATGGCTAAAAGATTTTAATGGATAAAGATCTCAACAATAGCAGACATAATTTGGTGAATTTGGTGCCGATCAAATCAAAACAAATTTAAAGACACTTAAATCAAGCCGAGGACCTAGCAACTGCCAACAACCTAAACTAAACAATCCTTTTACTGCTAAAATGTAATGCTTAGGATTCCAATTCCAGTATTTAGATCATTATGAGAATATCAATTTTTCTACTGAAACCTGCAGACATGATTTCCAGCTTATAGGTTATTTGTTTGCTGGGAAATTCCTCAAGTGCTTCCCATTGTGTTTCATAGAATACAGATGAAACTATGCCTCCACCTTTACAGCACTGACGTTTGTAGACAAGTGTCCTCATCAAACAGGTTCCCTTTTCCTAGGCAGAAAATATTAAATTCCTTGTTCTATAAATTCTTTATATATGCTTGAAAATATGTTATTATGAGAGATAAAAAGAATTCTTTAATTGAAGCACATTACAAAACTGATGTGTTCATCGCTTTCTTTTAAAGAAGACAAAAACTAAAAGGTGTTTTATTTTGTAAAGATTCAAGAATCCAAGTCTTAAATTCCTTGTTCTATAAATTCTTTATATATGCTTGAAAATATGTTATTATGAGAGATAAAAAGAATTCTTTAATTGAAGCACATTACAAAACTGATGTGTTCATCGCTTTCTTTTAAAGAAGACAAAAACTAAAAGGTGTTTTATTTTGAAAAGGTTCAAGAATCCAAGTCTTCCTCTACACTGAATAAAGGAACTTGGTATAAAGCAATGAATAATACTTGGGAGTCACTTCTTGTATAAGAGAATATAAAGAGTGATGTTGCATAAAGTTACTAGATTCCCAATGCTAAACGTGAGTGCAAAAAGCAATTTATCTTTATTAACTCTTTTAGCTCATGAAGTCAAGATGCCAAACTCTTGGACACTAATGACTCAGTGGTGAAAGGGGGCTTTTCCTATATGCTGCTAAATTTTGATCATTATATATTGAATATGAACGTAATTTTGTTGACCAAAGAGAGTTCCACAGACACTGCAGCTTGTTAGAGTCCTACACAATAGTCTTGTAATTTAGATGGTTAATCACTTCATTTCAGTAACCATCCCAATAGAAATTAAAGCACTGTTTCAAGAGGCAAGAAAAAAAGAGTTAAACCTACCTCCCCACTTCTCAGAGTCACGAATCCAATTACAATATTCACCATTTGGCTTCCCGAGAAATGCTTCATTATATTTTTCTGGGTCGCTTGCCACTGTTCCAGCTATAACCTTACAAAAATTATTGATTGCAAAGAACATCAAGAAAATAAGAAAGGAAAAACGAGTACAGACTTTAAATAATGCAGGTTTTTGAAGTGGAAGGAAAGGATGAGTTGTTCCTTTATCAATGATTTGAAAAGTATCAAGAAGTCAATGATACTTCAGGATAACACATAGCAACTCCAGCAATGTCAGTGCCTAGCCAATGCAATCTATTACATGCCCTTACACTTGGCAAACTGACAAGCAATTCTGTAAAAGATTCCATGCAAAATATTGCTATAGAATCAGATCCCCTCACTGATAGCATCAATAATTAAGGGGGGCTGATTCTGAATTCTACTTCCATAGCATACTTCACATTTCTACAATCATAATGAAGCATGCGTTTTTTGATTCAGCTGATTAGGATCTTGAACTTGGGATACGACTTGTGTGATAATCATTATCTTTTCTTCTTTATAGTACATTGAATTGCTTGGAAAAAATTAATCAAGACCTTAAACCCATTCCTACACAACATATTATCTAAGAGCTAGCATGATGATGACAAAGCAACACTTGTTACTTTTATGCCAAAGACTTTTGTTCTCAAAACTAGAAAACGATCTTCATTTGGTTAACCAAAGAAGCTAAATAACAAACAACTCTAAAAACTTGGATCCACCAAATGAAAACCTTCTTCTCACATCTAAAGTAAGTGTAGGGGCCATGGTTTCCACTTAATATAGGTGAAAATTTACATTTTTTGTCCCTGAAACTACCCATTTTTTGTCCTCTTGTAATTTTGCAAGTTCAAAATCCACCAAAATACATCCAAAGAGAATTTAAGGCATCTCTAATTATGATAAAATCAATTCTTTCTACCAAAAAGAAAACACTAAAATTAAAAAGTGAAAATGGAATGCATTTGTTAATATCTAGACATCCAGTCCTTCAACTAGTAATGCACCAAACATCTAAGAAGTGACTCCAGACCAGGGAGCATACAAACATTATTCGTTCACAATAAACAATATTGCTACCAGATTGAACATGGTAAACACCTTTTCCAATTGAAAAATCGAAACTTTATGCTAAGTATTTAAATGTAAATTTTAAGAATCAAGTTGCTCTAACTACACTCAATCCACATAATGAAAATCAAAAGTTTAAAGAATTACGCAAATTTAGCATATTGAAAGCAAAGCTAAAATAAAGATGAGAAGCAAGAACCTGTCTCAACTCATAAGCTTTATTTTTGTCATGGTCCATAGCATAGCTGCGAACAAGCAAAACAACAGCATCAAAGGCTAGAACTTTACCAGCAACTCATTCAATTGACACAAGAAATCACTGAAAACAGAGGCATCATAGTTTAGAATTTACCCAACAGCATTGAACAGGCAACTATTGTCCGAGGGAATGACCCTTCTAACGACGATTCCTTCCATTATATCAATAATCAAGAACCTAAAAGCAATCCCAGGTAAGATATCAGCTTTATAATTGTACTTCAAGAGGAACTCAAATTTACAAGAACCCGAATTTAAAAACTTGGAACAACTACTATGCACCTTCCAAAAACTTGAAAAGGACCCAAATTCCCACAAAGCAAAACCAACCCAGATGCAGAAACACAACAAGAAAAGGAAATGAATGGTTTATAAGCAATTTAAAAAATCCCCACGAGAAGCATATATGCTGATAGATCCAGTAAGCATATCAAGAACATTACTTTAAGGCAAAGTAACTTCAAGAAACAAGAAAAGATAAAGAAAGCAAAGCAAGAAACAGGCGAAAGATTAATTATCTATGGAAATAATGATGTTATAAGATAAAGAACAAATCTTACAGGTTTTGGAAATGAAAAGAAGAGTGGTTGAGAGAGAGAGAGAAGGATTTTTATGTCGTTTGGTATAAGTTATCGGTGTGCTTTTTTGCCTTTTGATGTTCCCTCTTACAGGTTTTTGGAAATGACAAAAAGATAATAATAATAATAACAATATATTTATTCGAAAATCATTTACAATAAACATTGATTATTTCTTGAACTTAACTAGTGAATTTATTGAGAAATTAAGTTTCAATATTAAGAGAATTTTATTAATAGAGAAACTTCCAAAAAAGAAAAATAATAAGAACATTAAAATCAAAATATTAATATGTATACATTGTTTAATTAAAAACATGATATTTAAAAAAACGTTCACAATATTAATATGTTTTTTTTTTTATTATCTTCGAAATGAATTTAAAATTCTACCTACAAAGCGCAGAGATCAAGCCAATAAAATTCTACCTACAGCTGGTGACATTAGTGTTGAACACATACTTCTTGCGGAAGGTGAGACTTCGAGCTGGCATCATAGAGTATTTGAAAACCTACCTTTTGTATCGAATTTTATTTATACATTATTCAGTATTTACAGGTAGGGTGTTTTATTATATTTATACTATATTAAAAAAATTAGATATTCATAAGTTATAATAAAATAAAATAATATAAATCATGTTGAGTTTAAATTGATTACGATTATATTTATATCTTATTTATTAGAAAACTATCCAAAAAAATTATATAGTATCTATCATGTGTTAATATAATAAAATTGTGCATCCAAGCTGAATATTTCGCTATAATTGAGATACCATTTTGGTATAGATGGTTTTTGCTCGAAGAAATGCCAATGGAATGTTTAGAAATGTATAATTATTTTTTAAAATATCTTTTATTTAAAAATATATTAAAATAATTTTTTTATTTTTAAAAAAATATTTTTAACATTAGCTCGTTAATAGAACAATATAAAAAAATAATTTAAAAATAAATAAATTTTCAGACAACATTGTTTGAAACAAAATTCCAAATTGCACCAGATAAGCAGAGAGTCACCTACCCAAAAAAGAGCAGATTTGAAAGCCAACCAAACCAACAGATTATCAACTAGAGAGAGGAATATGCGCTGCGTCAGACGCAAGGTTAACATAAAGGTTGCAAATTGCAAGGCTCAAAAAGTCTGTCTAGAACCCCACTACACATTCATCGAATAATGGCACTTGTTGAAAGTGTAAATTCCTCGATGTCTAGAACCCCTATCACTTGCCCCATGTTCTCAAGCATGTACTTGCTAATATTGGGAGATACATCCAAGGGTAAGTAAATCGCTATTGTCATCCCACTTTATTACTTTGAGCACTTTCTGAAAACAGCCTTGAGCTCCTGTGGATGGCTAGGTCATGTGTGCGAAAGTGGCTGAGGCTCCACTTTTTGGGGAAGTTCAGCGATGCACTCGATTTCAATTTTGGCATCCAGAGGCAACGCAGCTACCTGATAAGTTGAGCGAGCAGGAAATGGTGCAGGGAAGTCTGTCAAAAAAAACCACATTGTTTACTTAGGTTGCAAAGTGCAATAGTGTCAAAGATGCTAGATAACAACTTTCATTTTCTCACCAAGGCTGGATAACAAATCTCTTTCAAGGAAAATGATGGACAAAATAGATTCCAAATAAATTTCCTGAGGCATGCTCTAATGTCAAAAACAGATCCTTCAGAAGCTTAAAAATGTCATTCAGGAAGCACTTATCAGCAAAAAGAAGAAAAAAATGATGCTGCAGAAAAGCTCTTGATCTCGGACAAAACTCTACCAGAAAAAAGAAGAAATATGCCAAAAATAAAGCAAGCCACGCAATTCTAACATGCATAATGCATGATAATCGAGAGTCAGCCAAAATGATTCACATATTCCAGTTTCATTCAACATCCCAAGTTAATGGCAAGTCGATCACATACAGATGAATTTTTAACAATCCTACAGCAGCCGAGACGGACAATTCTTAACCTATCTAGATGACTGATCAATATTTATCTGATTATATAGGTCTGGATTCTTAGTCTGCATTGACAACTGACAAGAGTTCCACAATAATTGACTATCATTAAAAGATTGAAAACTTGAAAGTCAGCATGGATGGAAAGTGTATCTGCAATGCTAGGCAGTGAAGATTTTCACTGAAGCATATCCTACATTTGCAGAGTGATATACAATGTTTTCGTTTTCTTGTTCTTGGCAGGTCCAATGTCAAGTAGACATAGTAATTTGTGACACAAACAGGGTGGAAGGCTATATGTTCCACAACATACCAGTACAAATATTCTGCAAAAAAAAAAAATAATCAATAGAACATACAGTTTGCATAGATATCATTCACTTTCTTGAAGTCTTTCAAGTCAGCCAACCTGCAGAAAACACAAAAATAAGTAGCAGAAAAAAGCTGATTCTCTTTCTAATCATCAATAAAAAAAAATCGATATTGCAAGGCAAAAAGTGAATCCTACATTATTGTTGTCTTTACTACTAAGGAATAGTCGCTACCACTAGCTTTCAGTATCTCCCCCATATTCTTAAGTACCTGTAAAGTTCATAAAGTCAAATCTGTCAGTTATCAATCCATTTAGCAGCTTTGAAACTGAGAAGTTATCCATAGCAGATTTGCAATCAAACTAGGGGCAATCAATAAAACAGGACCAAGCTAATTCGAAATACAACCAAGGAAGGCACTACACCAGTGGAAAAGCCTATTCGCTACACTTTCAGCACATCCTCAGATAAAGCAGGTTGATCATAAAAGGTAGAATACGCAAAACTAAGAAATTAAATTTACAGAGCCATCAGAGCTGGCCTCTTGAACAGAACACCACCTCAAGAAAGAAAACAAATCTACAACATGAGTTGCTAATTCAAAGGTTGCATGTTTACCTGTTCTGTCTGATCCTCAACATCCTGTGAGACAAACTTCCCAGTCTGCATTAATGTATCAAGAAAATATCATTAGTATCCAGAAAAGGGATTCTGAAAAACAAAATTGTATATGCAGTAAAGTGGTTTTGTCTCAACATGCACGTAACAGTAGAATAATTAAGAACCCCAATAAAAGCACATTTGTTGCTCCAAAATTACAAGTTACAAAAACCAAAAGAATAGATAAATTTGAAATGCCATGAAACTGTTATTCAAAATGAAAATGGAGAATTAAACCATACCTCTGGAATGAGACCTAAGACACCAGAAACAAATACAAGGTTATTGGATTTAATTGCTTGAGAATATGGCCCCAATGCTGCCGGAGCCTTGTCTGTTTTAACAGCCTCCTTTTGAGCTACACTCGAAACAGACATAGACCATTGTCAGCCATCAAATACTCAAAATCGAATCACCATATAAATCAACCTACTTTCTAACAAAACAATCATACATTTGAACAAAAAAATCTCACAAAATCCTTAATAAAAACCCAACAATTGAGAAAGTTGAGACTTTTCAACTCGACACATCCATCAAGCCAATACTATCAAACTCAATATTACAAGAGTCACGTACTTTTCCACTCTATTGATCAGTTACACACATATTAACCAAAACCCAAAAATCAATTCCCATAAAATATCCAAAATTTTCTACTCTATTCATTACTATCACACATTAACCAAAACCCAGAAATCAATTCTCATAAAGTCTCAAATTTTGTATCCAATTCAATTAGTTACACACATTTAGCAAATCAATTCGAAATAAGGAGATAAAAATTTTAAGAAAGAGAGGGGGGAGTTACGAGGGAAAGTGCAAGTGTTCAAGGAAGCGAAAGGAGGGGTGGTTAGTCGATTGGAACAACACTGCCGCCAAAAACCCGTTGCGACGACGGAGGCGCAACCAATGCCGCCGATAGCAAATGGGATTCGGTTGCGCACTGCACCGACGTTGATCAACGAGGCATTAAAGGGTTTTAGAACACACCACGACATTTTCTCTTGTTTGTCTCTGTCTCTCTAGACTGTTATTATTTGTGCTCTTGGGAAAGAAGCCGTTATCTGGGTTACAGTGTATGTTTGTTAACAGGGTTAAAATTATATTTTTAAATTTTTTTAAAAAAATATTATTTTTTTAAAATAATTTTTTGATATTTTTAAATTATTTTGATATGTATATATTAAAAATAATTTTTTAAAAAATAAAAAATATTTTTTTAATATTTTTTTGATAAAAATATTTTGAATCACAATCAATATTACATTATCAACTACACTCATATTTAAGAAAAATTTTGAATTTTTTTATTTTAAATTATTTTTTTTATTATTTTAATATGAAAATATTTAAAATAATTTTTTAAAAAATATTTTTTAATATATTTTCAAATAAAATATATTTTAAAAAATAATCTCTATCCCGTTTGCTAACAAAATAAAATAAAATAAAGAGTGTGTTTGTTTTAAGGTAGTTTTTGTAGTTGTAATTTTAAAAAAATATATTTAAAAAAATATAGTTAGTTGTGATTAGTTGAATTTAGATACATATTTAGTAAAAATTATGGTATATAGCAAAATATATATAATGTTTGATGGAAGCGTGATTGAGGTTGTTTTTTAAAATATTTTTTATTTAAAAATACATCAAAATAATAATTTTTTTACTTTTTAAAAATTATTTTTAATATCATCACATTAAAATAATTAAAAACACAAAAAAAAATATTAATTTAAAATAAAGAAAAAAATTTTAAAAATTAATTTTTTTAAAGCACTTATAAAAAGCAAAAATAAACAGTTTTACGAAATTAATGTAAAAAAATATTTTTTTTGTTATAAAAAACTTAATATTTATTTAAAATAACATAAAATATCATCATTTTAAAATAAACAAGTAAATAACTCATATAATTTTAACAATATTAATACTTCATAAAAATACTATACTTTTTAGTTCTAATATAATTCAAAAGATATCACCATACAAATGAAATTTTGTATAATTACATAAATAAATTTATAAAAATTACTTAAATTTTAGTTTTAATTTTCATACTTAACTTAAATTCCTCAATAACATAATATCATATCTTTTTGACAAAACCATTCAAAGCGTAGCTATTTAAGTATCCGAAAGAATATTCTAATAAGATACAATGATTTTCAATGGGAGTGTGATTATAATATCTTCAATACTTTCTTTTTTTTTATTTACGTGCAGGGTACGGGTCAGCTTGTGCGCACCATAACTAATCCTCACGGTCCACTGAATACCCAGCAAATCCAGCAAACAGGTAAGGCACCGCGGGGTGACAGACATGCACGTCAGGGCTTGAATCCATGTGCAGTGAAAGGAGACAAGTCCCTTCCATCACTAGGCCAAACCCCTCGATGCTCCAATACCCATTTTATACAGAGGGGATCGAGAGAGAGAGAGAGGCGTTGCATAACAGTACGCAAGAACTAAGAGAGAGAGAGAGAGAGGCGTTGCATAACAGTACGCAAGAACTAACAGAGTTCAGTGAGGACGTTGGCTTCAAGGCTCAGGAAAGTCACAGGCTGAGGACTACTCCTTTGTAGCCAGTTGAATTCTCTTGTTGTCTTGCACTGAGATTTGCAGCTTCAATATTTAATCTTTCCGATCCAATCCTGTAAAACTTCGGACTCTTTCAATCCATGATGTCTTGATCTTTACATGAAAAGAGTGTTGTTCACATTAAGGGAATGAGGCCATTATTCTGAAGAGAGGAGAAGGGTGAATTCATGCTTGTTCATTCATTCGTTACCATTCTCTAGTAGTGGTGAGATTCCAAAGTTCAGTAGTAAAGGTGAGAGCTGCATAGTTTTCATAAATACAAAGGCTCTGCCAACATGTACAAGATCATATCTGTATGAACATAATAGTACATTTGAATAACCTGATTAAGTACTGAATCTGGAAGATTACCCAAGCTGCGGAAGATTGAGAATAATCCTGAGGAGTTTCCTGCCATGCATGGAAACGTGACTACTTTCCATGATAATGTAGACGGCGAGCTGTTGCATTTAATGAGAGATGTTTATTCTGATAAAATGGCCAAAGGCAACATTATTGGCCTCTCGCTTGCATTTCATCCTGGTCTTGTTCCAAATTTGAACGTAGCTTGGCCAGTTCAATGGCTCTATGTCTGAAAGCTTCACTCTTTATTAAATTGGCCATCAACTACTTATCATTGTTTTCCGAGGAGAAATGCAACACACTGTAACTTGAACACTGTATTTCTACTGGGATAACAGTCTCAGTTCCATATGTTAGGAGAAAAGGTGAAGTTTTCCAGGTGATTTTGAAAACCTATAAAATTTTATCAAGCAACTTAGCCCACACTCCTTTAGCTTCTTCTATTTTCTTCTTCAAGCTATTCGTGAGCTCTACTAATCCAGTTGTTTGTTTATAGGTGTGTGACCGAGGAGAACTTGTTCGTGCATCTTTTTATTGTCAAATTAGGTGTGTGATGGGCACCCGGGGATGCCCAAATTTGAAAACGATATTCTTCAATAAAAATGAAACCACCTTAGAAATGGTTATTTCTGTAAAGGTTCCTGCTTCCACCCACTTTACGAGGTAGTCAACAACAATTAAAATAGACTATTTTATTCTTGAATTCTTAAGAAAGGGACTTAAAATGTCCATTCCCCGCTGCAAGAAAGGCTACAAAGATGGTTGTTTATATGATGGCTATTGAAGACTTACATGGTCGTTAACTTTAGGGTCTGTAGGATTAGTCGTGGTGCGCGTAAGCTGGTCTGAACACCCACGTTAATCTAAAAAAAAGAAAAGGCCACAAAGAAAGGATGATGGTTAACTCTACAGATGGATGACGTCGAGGAACTGGTTTGAAAAGATTGGGTGGCTATCTTCACTCCCCAGGGCTAGCTAGGTTGCTCAGCCAAAGCCTTTTATTTATGAAAGAGGTCAATTTTGGAGGCTAAAGTTTATGTCTACATAAGATTACAAACTTTCATTTCCTACTTTGATAGGTTGATTGATGCATTACAGAAGGAAATGCCAATCATTTGATGAGAAATCTTGAATGATATATCTTCTGAAACATAGTTGTAGTTAATAAGTGATAGGATTGAGTTGAACTAATGACTCGGAAGTTAACGTCACAATCCAACCCCTAGACTGAGTCGAACACCGGCGTGACAAATAGCTACAAGTTGCTTGACTAGGGATCTCTCGTTTAAATGTCAAAAACCAGGTGCTACAGGATGCTGGATAGTGCTTCTGTGGGCTGGAAATTAAAGAGGATATTCTGAGACGATGAGATTTGGGAAATATGGACATTCTGATAAAGTAGTGGAAGGGCCAAGTGGTTCTTTAATTCCATTAATGAACAGCTGCAAGCATTGGCTGGCTAGATTACTTGCATGGTATTTTGTGCTTATCCAATAAAAACCATGGACTTGTTCTTTCAGATTCAATGAATTGAATCTTCCATTAACATTTTGCAATTTTGGTGTCCCATCTAATTAATGCTGTGTCCACAAAGATAAGACGAAATTGCTTGTGACGCATCTTATAGTAAAAATAAAATTAAGATTCATATTTTTGGGTCTAAAACTGGCCTAATTAAGAAGTGCAAAGTTAAGTGGAGAAAAATAATTAAAATCAGAAAATAATTAAAATAAGTAAAATAATAACTTTTGGGTCTAATTTTCCAATAAATGACAAAGTGGTTCCTTATAGAAAAAGTGCACATAGAATCTCTGTAAAAATTTGAATCCAATACAACAGTTAAATCTTCCATTATCACGATTTTCATCAAAATTCATATGTAATATTTCTGGGATTTTAATGAATTTCTTTTTGAACTTGACCTTATCTATTTAGTGCATGAAAATGTCGACAACAGTTCCTCGTCAGTTTGTGCCGTAGTGGATCTGGAAACAAGACGTCAACCAGCTTGAAAAGACTGATGTCTCTGAGCATTAAGGAGGAGCAGCAAGCAATGGCTACAGCTAGATTACTTACGTTGTATTTTGTGCTTATCCAAGAAAAATCGTTGACTTCTTCTTTGAGATTCAACACAGCAGGAATTGGATTTCGCATTAACATTTTAAGATTTCTGTGTTCCATCTTAATAATGAAATATAAAACTATCTTCAAACCCAATTTTGTTTTAAAAAGAACTTTGAAATGCAAAAACAAAAGGTTTTTTTATTCCTTGTAAACTATGCCAATACCTTGTTACCTCGTTGGATGAGTACAAACAAGCCTAAAACATTCACCAATTGGCATTTTGTTTGTTTAACTTAATATTTGAGATGAGAGTGCTTTTGATTAAGGTTTGGGATTCCTTATCATGCAAGAAAGGCTCCTCTCCTAGGGCTCCATGGCACTTAAACTTGATTTAGTTGGCTGCCATTAAATTTCAACTGCAAATGTCTTGCAGAATAAGTACAGCCACAGAAAGCATTTTGAATATGCCATGCCATCTAATGGAGATAAAATCCCACCAGGAAAGTTCTTGTTAATGAAGAGAATCAATTACGGGAAGCTAATGGAGATGGCAAGCTTGAAGCCCAGAAAAGGCGAAAGCCATTTAAGAGCATTTACAGCTGATTTAAAAGCATAAGTTTAATTGAAGAAATGGGCTAACATTATTTTTTAAAGTATCTCTCTAATTACATCAAATGAATATTTCTTTGACCAATTAATATACAAAACAGAAAATCCCACACATGATTTGAGATATGAAATCCATATGAGAAAATTATACTTTCAATGAACAAAAGTGGGGAAGGGGAATTACAAGTGACAGGTCTGAGAGTTTTCGAGCTTTTCCTAGGCTAATAGGGTGTTTGCCAACTTTATTAGCAAGGTTCTTAGAGGACTCTACAAGTTGCAGACATGGCATCAAATCATTAAACCATCAACTGAAATAAACTTCAACATAAACAGGAACATGGATGAAACAAATACAAAGAGATGTAACTTCGAAGGCTTCGGTTTAGCAAGTAGTTTTAAGTTTGTATAATCAACTGAGTGAGCCTTTTCTGATTGAGCTTAGCATTTCCA